GGTATGTTGTCGGTAAGGCAGTAGTGTAGCAAAGTAAAAATGATAACCCAAATTGACAGGCATAGACCTTTTAATTCAAGAAGTGGGTTGTACAAATTATAAAGCCACTGATATCCTGGTCACGTGATATGTGTCACAGGGTCATTATGATCTAATTTATTGTATAGTTATAAGTATTGTGTGTTGTGTGCTGTACGTTTGTCACCTGTGTATCGTAATGTGGAAAGCACCTTGTTACTACTCATAGCTCGGGGTGGTGTCCTACCCGTGTTGTGTCGTGGTCGTCTCTATATGTCCGTATTTGGTGTTGTTGATGAGTTATATGTAGATTAGGGTGTGAGTTTGTAAGAAAGCATGCAAGTGTGAGTGAGAGTAGTAATAAAAGTAATAATACACTGCGCTAATTCGCACTGGCCGTTTATCGTGAGACGGAACATATCCTCTGGGGTCCCATCTGCACAGTCCAGCCGTACTCGTAAAGAGTGACTATATAGACATGATTTTACCGGACCTTGACAGTCTCGGAAAGTAACTATAGCATGAATGCTTAAATGTAGTCATAAATTGGAATATTTAATTCAAAGTATATAAATTAAATATTGGACGTGTCAAACATAGGTATTGTATACGGCGACATACTAATTCTAGGCCATATTTGTATTGTAGGGGTGTTTTCCTGTATGAATCTGCAATGATGCTCCGGTCATAATAAATTCGACTCGAACCAACAGGACGTGTGGAGTTTTTATTCAATAAATGTCCTGTGATATATCTACAAAGTGTACAGATGATAGGTAATTATTTTAGATTTATTAATCTATACATTCTTTAAATAAATTAAAACAATGTACAAGCAGAACATAGTGTAGTTTTTATGTCGAGTATTATATTCGTGTTATGATAATGTCAATTTTGTGTTTGATATACTAAATAAACGCTGGCCGTCGATTGCTGTAGTCATGGCCCAAGTACTTATATTCAATACCAAGATGATATACGGTTTAATTAACATTTTTTTTCAAAGAAGATTTTGCTATTCTTAGTCGTTTATCTCAACAGGTCCAACATAATTCTAAAAGTGTCTCATTTGATGTAAAAATATTATTAAGTACAATTTATCTTGATTGTTGAGGCTCTCTAATGTTGGTTGAGCAGAAAACGGGGAAAGAACAAATAAACAAAAATAAACCGCGGAAAACCGGAAAACTTTAATTTGCCTTTGTTTTAATTTATATTTCAAGCTACCCACACAATCTGTGACCGTAATTTTATTTATTCTGATCAAACAAAATTTCAACAGATTAAGGGTATAGCGTTGGGCACTTAAGTCCCCCCTACATATGCAGCCTTAGCTTTAGGATACCAAGAGGAAACCTTCTTTTCAATTCTAAGATTGAAACATAATTTGCCTTTGTTTTAATTTATATTTCAAGCTACCCACACAATCTGTGACCGTAATTTTATTGATTCTGATCAAACAAACAGATTAAGGGTTTAGCGTTGGGCAATGAAGTCCAGCCTTAGCTTTAGGATACCCAGAGGAAAACTTCAAGTAAATTGGTATAGCCTATATAATTACACTTGCCCTCTAACACTGTTGTAATGGGACGGCGCGGGGGCAAATGTAAATATATACATGTAGCATTGTCAGACACTGCATCTACTCGTCCAGTATTGCGTAAGGTGCATTAACATTTCACATATATCTACAAGTACTGGCAATGGTATCAATATATTGAATGTTTTGACATCTCAGTTATTCAGTCTTGTATAATGTGAGGTCAATCACCACCCATACATGTTTGACAAACCCTCAGACAATTATTCACAACCTATGAATATATCTGTCATGATGACCTGGTGGTAACGTCTTATAATACAATACATAATTTAATTTATTTTTGTTGCCAACCAATTCCATAAATATAACAATATCCATGGCATATTGATTGATCTATGATCAAAAGTAAGTGTTTTAATATAAATTTCATACATGTTTCGGTTTCTTAGCAGCAAAATATGTGATCAGCGTACACAGGATCCGGATGCATTTTCACAGTCCAGCAGCAGGAGAGACAACACAATTTGTATAGATAGAACACTAGTGTTCACTGATATAAATCAATTAGAAATTATTATAGTGGAGAATTGAAGGGCCTTAGAACACTTCAATGAGTCAACAGTAACATGTTACACAAAGGTGTGTTTTTGATGTTAATCTTGTTGATTTTGATGTTTTGAAGAAAAAGTAAATTTCTCCGAAACAGAATGAGTGGATTACAGATGTAGGTAAAGAATCCGCAGAATGGATACTGAAATAGGTTGAGAACTGATGAGGGGAGTTACTGGTGAACAGTCGGCTGTCTTTGTACGATAGAGACTACCAGAAAGATGGTAAGAAGTTTTGGATTTATAAAGTTTGTTAATTTATGATGAAAAACTTTACAGCAACAAATTCAGTATAGAACAACTCTCATATGTGAACCGACAGGTATTAGATATTTTTAAATTTTACCTTGGTATGTTGGCATGATTGTGTGACCATACTTATCAGAAAAACGTAGTCCCAGCCTCTGATAATGACAATTTTTAGGACAAATTCAAAATATCTCATTGCAATTAACAGACATAATGTGTATAATTGGAATTTATTCTGCGTGGCAACATCTTTTATTGGTATTATATTTGTATAATTCGCAAATTGAGAACATCACACATTCTCGACCAGTAACACTATTCTTACAAGGAAAGACGAATTGATTTTGACTTAGTAATACACTAGAACCATGAAAAAATGACACATTTTTTCTCCTGGTCATTTTGATATATAATATGTATGTATTAAAATGTATATACAAAGAAATGAATTTGTGACAGTTTGAACTTCTAACTTTAAAAGGGGTGCATGAACCTTAACTTAAGAGGCGACTTATGTGGGACCAGCAGCATTTTCCTTTATATTTAACTGTAAATAATGAAATATGAGTACTTAAGATCGATATCACTGTAATGTTTGGCTTTATTATTCAAGATAACAGTTCAGAACAGAAGTACTCTAGGTTTGGCTTCTGTTACATGTACTGGATATGATTTCACAAAAAAATGGACTAAAGGTCAATGTGAGACCCTTCAAGAATCAGAAATCGGGGAAATATATTCTAGACATTGTTTATTGTTGCGAAACTGTTTTTTTGTTGTTTTTGCTTTTGTCGTATGAACTAGTATAGTTAAAGGATCATTTGTACTATATATATATAAATTAAGTCCCAATACATAATCTCATTACATGCTGTCTGAGAGGTGACTAATAAGGGAGGGAACCCCCTGCAGTACCGTCAATTTCCCCTTTTTGATTTGTTACATCAGTGCATGCTGATATCAAGGTCATATCATGGCACTTAGATCAGTGAGTCCTGATGTAAATACACGGTTTTTGGTGGGTCTTCAAAAATTGAACTTGGCCAAAACCTCGCGTACGTGGGACACGGACGGGAAAGGGGCGAATACCACGTGTAATTGGTGAAGCATCCAACGACACCGATGTTTGTTACCACTCAGGTCTGAACACTTATACTCTCATCCAATATAGTTGGCCACAACCATTGTCGATTGGAGATTTATCCATGCAAACAGTCCCCATGACTGCAACCGACCTACCGCATGGGACACTCTACTGAGACTGCATTGAACATCTCGCATGACCAAATATTAGATGTTGGGGTTCCTCAAGGATTGGTTTTAGGAACCAAAATATTGATTATATTCAACACCTATCGGATATGTTTGTCGTCGCCAAAAGTTGACATGGTCATCAAACCATAGGACTAATGGGATACCATATCAGAAAATCCGGAAACTTGTCTGACAGACAGTACTGAATAAACGCCAACATGCTACATCTTAATCACATCATGTTCGTTTAAAAAAAAAGTAACACCATGGCCCTTAATGACCACAGTTGTCGATGGGCCGTCAGATATAAACAAACAACAAATATAAACAAATATTAGTCAGGAAAAGGCCGAATCAATCTTTTCCCCAAAGTGTCAGTAAACAATGGCTCTCCAGCTCAAGGTCGGTACAAGAACTATTGTGACTGTCCCAGCTGTTAAAAACCTAGGGGTATACTTTGATAGGTCACTGAACATGGGGAAACAAATGAACGCTATTGTCAAATCCTGTTGCTACCAGGTTAGGAGCATCGGCTGTATCCGGCAATTTATACCCGCAAATATATGCAAGATTTTGATGCATTCAGTTGTTTCGGTTGGACACTGCTCTGTGGTATAAACTAACTAGTCATCCGCAGGAGGTCCAGAACACTGCAACACGTTTGGTTATTCGCACTCGACAGAGAGAGCAATCAAACATGTACCATATTCTTTGCACTGGTAACCTGAACAACGATACAGGTAGCAGTACTTAAGGTGGTGTATATACACAAGGCACTGAATGGAACAGCTCCTTAGTATGTACAAGAGCTTGTCACCTTGTATCAGCCGTCCTGATCACTGCGGTCAGAGACAGAATCGTTTTTGTGTGTAACAAACACTCGAACTGTGACCTATGGAAACCGGTGCTTTGGGAGGGCCCGGCCATCTTTTATTAGGAAGTAGAAAACCATGGCTTCATTCAGGAAAGATAAAAAGACCCACCTCTCCACGTCAGCATTTTAGGTTCTTTGCACAGACGTCATATACACACCAGCCTGTATCAATTTATAAATATGTGTTTCGAGACAATAACCTCGTGACTTAATGTTTAATACTGATGTGTATGCCCTTTTTATCTACTATATCTATATTTATATTCTGTAAATACTATTATTCATGTGTTGTAAAACGCCTTAGAGTAATTTTAAAAATTATTTAGGGAGCTATATACCGTTGTATTTTATTATTAACACACAGTAGTAAATTAAGTCTGTCGAAATAACTTACAAACACATTAAGTGTTGCCGATACGTTTATTAAATATTACGTTTTGGAGTCATATGGTTTTTGGCATTTCCATGATTATTAACATTTTATAACAATTCAGTAAAATTATAGTTCACTAGATTCGCACAATCATACACTATGCTACTGATACCCAGAAATAATCAGCTTGGTAATATTACCAGACCTCACGTCATTGGTAATTTGTGATATACTTGATGATATGGATGACACCTTGGTTTCCAGCCAACCAAAGTTTCCCTGACACGTCCACAGCCACAACCCAAGGATTTGTTACCATGGTGTGTTTCTGTCTATCAAGTAGAATGTGTCCGTCCTCTCCATCCTGCCCGTCTTCATCCAGCATGTACACGAGGTTGTGCTTATAGCAGGACATTAGAACATTTCCGTGGTTGTCATATGTGATGCCATGAGGGTTGAAATCTGAACGAAGCCCATTCCATTTTGACCTTAAATTCCCTGCTTTTGTGTAAACAAGTATGTTATCTCTGCAAGCGATAGCGATGTCGTCATTGAAAATGTTATGCGCAATCCTATAGGGATCGCACAGCACAGGATCTTCTGTGACGTCATGTATCTCCATGAGTATTTCCCCTTTCCATGATAACCTCACTACTTTTCCAGGGTCACCTTTCAACTGAGCACAAACCAAAATATCCTGTCCAGTCACTAGGGCAACGCCCTTCACGCTAAAAGGCTCAAAGTTCTTGATGTCTCTGAAATCTGACTGTTCATTCAGAAGATCTTTACTCCAGACAGTAGAGTTCGCTGTCAAAACCATATCCTTGTCGCTATTAACAGCAATATCTTGCACCGGAAATGGAGTTTTTAACACCCTTACCGTTTTTCCTGTTTTGTTTATTTTCTCTACGCTATTCTTGTTAGAATGTGCAATCCAAGCCATTTGATCTGACACAGGACATATTTTTCCAATACCTCGAGCGTTTTGCGTATGTATAGTCCCTAAAACCTCTACGTTGTAGAGCTTTTCCTTAGCGTCCCGTACTGATGTTTGGACTTTGGCAATTTCGTTTGTGAGGCTTCCAAATATATCGTCGACGGTTCCCTTGGCAACCAATGCGAAGCTAAAGCTGTGACCAGGTATCTCCGGCAGCACGGTTTTCTTGAACATATCAATGGCTTGTTGTGTGAAGGACTGGAGGTCAGTTTGACTGGTGGATTCCTGTTTCTTTTTAAGTTGTTCTTTGCTGTCATCCAACGCACGGCGAAATTCAGAGCATTGTTCACGGTGATGTTCCAGGTGGGTTTGACTATCTGAGAACAGTTTTTCAACTCGTTGCAACATTTTCTGTTTCGCTTTCTTTAATTCCTGTTCTAGTACTTCTGATCGAGCTTGGATTGCGGAAACTAATTCCTCTTTTAAAAATTGACTTTGCTCATTTTTTTTACTCGTTTCACTGTAGCGTTCTGCACAATGTCGGAGTTTAGACTCCAGAATGCTTTCTAGCCGTTCAATTTGGTAACGGTCTTTTGCTTTATCCTTAGTTGTGTTTCCGATCAGTTCAACACTGTGTTTTCCGGGCGTCACGTGATATTCTAAAACACATTGTAAACAACCCTCGATATTGTTACACGTTCGGCACACAAACTTGATATTCTCACTGTTGTGATTTGGGCAGTTTCTTTCCGAATACATTTTGTCACTTTCAATTTTAATTTCGATCAAATCTCGTGGTATAACTGTGCAGTTTCTCGTTTGCTTTGTTCTTTTGTGTAATGAGTTGCATATTTCACAAAGGTATTCATCACATCTCATACAAAACCAGTTTACATTCACTTTCGTTGAACATATTTCACAACACACAGCTTTCTGAGCCTGCAAGTGGCTCATCTTTACTATGGAATATATATATCTTACTCTAAATTAAACATGTTTCTCATCTTTTTAACCCCACATTTTCTCAGAACGAGTACCTTGGTTTTGTAGATATATCAAATCTTCAATGAGTAAATTCGCCTTCCACTACAGCACAATGATCCCTGCCTTAAACTAGTCTGTTACAACTCTGAAATAGAAGATATAACTATCAACATCTAAATTCGCTGATGAACTACATAACAGACCTGTATGTAAAATGGATTGATCTATAGGAGCTATCAGGGAGTCTTTTATTTTGTGTATACAGTAGTAACTACGACATTATATCCATGCTGCAAAGATCTATTGCGTTTAAAGGTACATTGTAATTTACATAGTGAAAAGAGACATGCTATTTAAATAGGTATTGAACTAAACATAATTTTAACTTGGAACAAAGCAATGTGTCATTTTATGTGATTTACGACTGCATATTCTGTATGTGTTTTGGACTTGACAGTATGACAAGCAGATGCTAAGAGATTAAAAACTCGTACGTAATATTGACATTATCATTGAATGTAAACTATCAATATAAAACATTGGAGTATCAACCACTGCTGCTGTTATATCTAGTTTGTGAGACAATATCGTGTCTTATAACATCATTGTATGACTTCTATATATTGTATGTCCATACCACTGCTCAATAAAACAATACTTACGTTTCGGTTAGCCTTTAACTTCCCCCTTCACTTGAGTGTAGTTTGATATCAACGAAATGTATATACTGTAATTTATCAATTTGACGATCCTTCACGGTGTGTAAACGAACCCGTTCTAATTTGATTACGTAAGCTGGGACATCCAAAAACAAAATGTGTTCAATATCTCAGTTCATAGGTTACCAGAAACTTTAAACTTTTTGTCTTTGTATATGATATATATATTTACATATGCCCTTCTCATTTTCCATTAACTCTATGGAAAGTTCGCCTGCAGATACTGGACTGTAACTGCAGTCTGCATTATCTGGTCACATGACCATGGTTTCCGTGACGTGAGGATAATCAACCACTCCCATCGATACGATAGCCGCCATCTTGTTGTTGTCGTTTGGTTCATACAAGTCGCATATTGACGGGTTTTGCAGACAATGAAGACATCAAGAATAGGAAGGTAAGTTCTTACTTTTGTATTAGAATATTCTGCACATTTAATTAGAGCATTCAACTTCATTTAACAGTTTTCTCCTGGTTACATTTTTTAATGGCGACCGTTGTTCGGTCCGATAATGGCCGTCTGCGGCTGTTCCAAGAATTGGACCAGTGAGGTTTTGCAGCAGCAGGACATATACATTAAGCTCATCCGAATAATTAACAAAAGACAGGTCGTATGAGGAAATGTAACTATAACGATTGAACGTCTGTCAGATGGCATAACGGACGTCATTCTATCTATCTGTCAACCAGATTTCATTTATATTGGCTGTAACTGCAATCTGACAGACGTTAAATCCTAAAGTTTACATGTATATACATGTGTGTGCGTATATATTACAACCATGGGGTTAGGTTAAGGAAAACGAATAATGTACTATTACTATAAATAGCACTTAATATAACAAAAATACGCAATCTTGGTAAATAAAATATATTTACAAAATAAAAGATTACACTCGGCTCTTCAGCTGCATTCAAGTCGATAATAAAGATACTTTCATGTAGATCAATAAAATATTTTTAAAGTATGTATGTTTTTTCCTTTTCTCCAGGTACTGTGGTTAAATTAAACTCCAAGAGTACATATACGACGGCATTATATTGGTTAGTGTATTACAACAAAACGTTACTTCTTTGCGGTGTGCGAGGGTGAGTTGTTAATTTGCAACTTACATTGAAATTTGAATGTATGTGTTCAATTGATATACATCAACCTGTTAATACATTTAATATCTGAAAATAATTTGAGTTAAGAAAATATAAACATTATCAAGCTGATATCTAATAATTAAGAAATATTCTTCCACACGATTGGCGACCGTGCGTGTATTGGGGTAAGCTGTCTTCACATACAGGTGTATACTCACTCCCTGTCTTAGACGTTTAAATGTCGGGTATTTAAATACGAAACATTGTTTACTGATATTTACTCCTATTTTGTATGTGTACATCATTGAGGAAGGTATATGTGTATTTAAATTAACAAAATGTGGATCAACCATTAAATTTTATATAACTCAAAAACGCACAGGAGTATCAATACGTGATAGAACGTAGTTTAAGAGGCATTTCTTAACTTGAAGTGATCAGTTATATCACTATCCTGACCATAACTGTATATGAATCAGTTTATTTTTTGTCGTTAGGCCTACATATCAGATGGCATGGTGTGTTCAGTTATAATGGACCCTACCCCACTACGGTATACAGCGGTACATTGTAACATGTATAATAGTACAATGTACAAGCAGTAATTCATGTATATTGACATATCACATTTATGTTCCTTGTGTAAAATTTGTAATGGGAAACGAAAGTTTTGCTCTGCAGGAGGCCCCACATTTACTGTAAAGCATGCCTTTGTTCTGTTTTGTCTGATAGGGTCTGTTTGCCCAAGTGCCAACGATTGTTAAAGGGACACACATCACTGTGATGTGCAACTTGATACGTCACGTGATCATTTTGAACGGAAGATGTGCTTAAATTGATTAGTTTGGCAAACAGAACAAAAGACAAAACACAAGACACACATACGTATGGATACGTTATAGTGACATATACTTTATCGTTGAATCATATATCATGTTAAAAGCTTCCGTAGAAGCTGTTGCAAGATGAATATTCCCTGGATGTAAGGGGTTAAGGCCACCACTTCTTATATAATTATTTATGTCTTCTATTTGTGTTTTCATATATTTATTTATTTTTTTATATTTTTCTCTGTTTTCTTTTAGTTAATTTTCTATTTGATTTTCCAACTCATCTCAAGACATGTCTACTTCAAATAAGTCCTGGTACATTTCTTTATCAGCATACATGCATGCATGTATCAGTTTTGCTTTATTTCATGTTGCCGTAGCAAATTTTAGTTGCTCAAAGTCAAGACGTATATCCATATATTTAATTCGATTTGACANTTTTTTTTTTGTAGAAACATGAAAATATTAATCCAGCCTAATTAAATGTAATACCTAGCAATAAATGTATCCAAGTGTCATGAGATGAGTTGAAATAAAATGTATGTATGTAAATATTGTATTCAATGTCTTCAAATATCAAAAGTATGCTGGAAGCCATGGATAGAGCTTATATAGGCAAAGCCTGTTGCTCAATCCTTTTGTTTAATCAATAAAATATATTTGAAATGAAAAAGGCCACCACTTCTTCAGTTATAATAGCGAAAAAGAGTTCCACTTTGAGGTATTTTGACTGGCTTTGAGTAACTTCACCTTTCAAAGTGTTCATAGTCTTCGCGTCCCTTAAATGTGACTACTCTTTTGATACTTTGCAGTTTTACAATGTACTTCCTAGATGGTAACAATACTAAAGTGAACGCTGTTTATTATAAAGATTCCGCCTTCAAGCCCTGCTGTGTTTGTGTTTTATATTTATATTTTCAAAAATTCAAATTTAGAACAATAATACATAAATGTACTTCTATTATATACATGGGAACGTGTGATTTTATAGGACATGTCTTTCGTAATCAGCAGAGATACCGCATAATGACCATATCTGGCTTTGGACATTAATCACCTCCTCTGGTGGTGCTACAGAAGCTTCATTCGGGCGCGAACATCTTTAAGTGATGTAAGAGAAATCCCATTTGTCCTGACAAGTTCCGATCGACGTCTTTATAACGTTTCCCGTTTCAGTGCTGACTACATTGATAAATAAACCATACGACAGGAAGATTGTGGCTCACGAGGGGATCTTGATTATGCCTGAGTTTGAAAGGACTTTAAAAAATATAAGCAATAGTGACGATGGTAATATTACAGTTTAACTCGTTGGTACCATTGACCTTAAAAGTCATCCGAAGGGAGGGAGTTCCCGACCCTCAGCCTGTACCTTTATCTTCAATAACTGTTGTACAGCTGATATAATTTTTAATATTTACAAGTGCATCCATTATTCACCCTTGTAAGTATTGTACTCTTTTAACAAATTAACGCCAAACAATGTTGTTATTTTTTCATAAAGAATAAGTGTACCTGTTATAGATCTTATGAGGATAATATTGATAAAATAAAACAAATAAATAATATAATACTAAACCACTCTTATCTCTCTTATAAACTTAAGTATGCGTTATACTGTTAACAACTCAATGGATAGAGGTCATGGTCGGCTTGCTTATCTGGAGCTGATGTTTCAATGTGTACCAAATTTTGCATTGATTTTCTTTGTAGAACAGGTAAATGTGTCTCGATATTAAGTATTGCCTTGTGCTCTACTACTCCCTTACTTCCTTTTGTTTCACTGGTCAGAAAGTTGATTCGGTTGACGGCTACATAGACACATAGCTATATGTTATATCTTAAACAAATTTATTTTCCAATCAATTAACTGATAAAGGTACTGATGCATTCACACCTACTGATCAATATTACTAAAAATATAATTATCGATCTCTGATCCATGGGACCAGATCAGACCAAAGTTTTCTAAATCATTCCAGTCCAGACCATGCTTTATAGCATGCCTACATAAAACACCTTTATTTACGACACATTGCTGCCGATAATTAGATAATTTACGTCGTAAAATTGTAGATACCATTTTTTCGTGTAACACGGGTAAGTGTACACATTACATAATGAATAAACATGTTCACGATAAACAGGGTAGTTGTAAGTGTATAACGAACTCCTGTTATTAAAGTAAATAATGTAGATATATGGTAAATATGAACAGTGTTCAGAATCGATATAATCCAACATATTGTAAAAGTCATGATTATATACCATATAAACTGTTATAATGGTTTTCTTTTTTCGTCCTTGTATTAAAACACCATGTAAAAATTAACTTAAAGTAGACACATGTGACTGAACAGACATAATTTGGTATTTGATATTATTTGTCAAAAAAGTAATACACTTCACTATATAGTTGTTTCGACCTTCTATAACCTATCAGTGATGGTAGCGGCCGAACAGGTGGAAATCGTAATTGGTCCAAACTTCTGTTAAAGTGAAAAGGGAGTTGCATAAGACACTTAATAATATGAATTTAAAAATAAGAGGAGTGCTGGTTAATTTGAAATGACTGATGAGAAAAGTGTGCATATTATGAAACCTGCCTCTGCTCATAAGATATTTGTTTCCATCACGGATACGGCAGACCTCGGGGACTAAGAAATCCACCAGCGTCTTCCCTCTTTTATCTGAACGATGAACGGAAGAAACAAACATGTGATTGCACTGATAAAACTTGTTAATTGATACAGTATGAATTACACTGAACCATACAGCTGTTTCGTTGTTAACTTAATTCTTAACTTACACATATTATTCTTATGTCTATATTTCTGTTGACTGCGTTGATTACAACTTACTAATTTCCTGTAACATTTAGTAATTGGAAAGAGTTATGTTATTTGTCTAACGCCAAAAGATTTGTTTACTAACTAAATGAACACTATTAATAAAACAGAATTCAGATATCACCGAATGTACCAGAATAATTAAAAATAACAGTTTTATTAAACATATGCTCTGAAAAAGGCAAAGGTTATACCAATGTTTAAGAACAACAATCCTATGGAAAAG